CGAATTTTACATTTGAACGTAAAAAAAAAAAAAAAATGGCGCATAGTCGACGTAACTCGTTTATTAAAACAAGCATTATTATCATTTCTATTCTTGTAACATCGTCATCGCCGTTATCGCTACGATCCTCGTCGTGGTCGTCGGCCCATTTCGTGAGGCATCACACGTACGATAAAACGCGTGTTATAATAAGTAATCTGAAAATAAATTGTAAGTACATATTTATCACGCTAAATGTTGCCGACGAAAATTTCGGGGAGATATCGAGGGGACCGAGCGGATGAATAAAACAACAAATAAAATAAAATAAAATAAAATAAAATAAAGTAAAAAATAAAAGGACAAAAACAAAGGCGAAATATATATATATATATATAATATATATGTATATATATATATATTATTGTACCGAGAGTTGCGCGCTGCGTTTACGATTTAAGCTAGTTTGTTTGTAAATAAAAAATACTATTTGACTCTTTGACACGTCACGTCTATCATGAAAAATGTTTTATCCTTCCCTTATTTTCGTCTTTTCCTAATTCTCTTCCATTTTCTTTCTACTATTGCACTTTTGACACTAGATCACATTGTTAAATCGTTCAAGGTACACAAGGTAGCTGTTCGTATGTAAGACACATGCCAATATTGTCCTCCAATGTGGTTCCTGTATCTTCTCCAGGACCAAACGCAACCCTTATACGAAAGGGCGTTGCCCAAGTCTCAACACGACAATTTCCATCGTTGTCTAGCTCGTTTCTATCGCACAACGAATCACCGCAATGTTCGAGATTACAAATTCCAACACCGTTGTTGCCGGGCTAAAATAAACAAAGATTAACTTTGATCTTTCGTTTAAGAAAATTTGTAAAACAATTCATACACTACCGTGATAAATTCCTCAAAATCGCAAGGTATAAGAACTTTGTCTCTGCATCTTCTAGTTAATACTGTTGAAGTTGTAACAGTTTCTTCTTCTTCCGGACCACTACCAGATCCTTCCGTTAAAAGATCCGTTTGTTCAGTATCCGTAGAATTACCGTTAACGTTATTATTACTACTATTTATAAAATTGTTGTTAGTAGAATTAGTTTGAGGAACAATAACGTCAGTACTCGATACAATTTGCCGTGATCGCAATCTTGGTGTTCCTATTCGAAAGGAATCTTTCGAACAAGGAGAATAAGCTATCCCGCACATTTCCTTTTCTTGACGCACGCAAATTAGATAATCCTGATTCGCAAGAAATCGCCCATTTGGTAGATAATTCAATGTTCTGAGGGTACCATTTGGTGAACTAAAATATTGAAGACAACCAGCTGGTGCACGATCCTCAAAACCCAATTGGATCACTCTCATTTCCCACATTCGCGAATGAAGTCCATTTGGTAGCTTAAAGTCAAGGGTCACTGGTTCGTCGGCCTCGTTTACATCTAAATATACTGGTCGCACGAAAGATACAAAAAAAAAAAAAAGATAATACATATATCTATATAAAATATATATTTCTTAAATAAACGATAAAAAAAAATTGTGTTATTTTACTTACTATGCTGTCCGCTATTCCAACCACACAATCTCAAAGACGATTTATTACCATTCCTTATTTCCATAATATCCTCATCACAAATACCAGTTTTTACGTTAGGTTGACCCTAAAATTATTTTTGAATAAATTGCCCAAAGATTTTTTTAAAGAAATATACACTTTTTTTCTTAAATCATAGAAGAAGCGAAGAAATTCACTTAAGAAAAATGCTAGATCAACTGTAATATATTTATATAATAGGAAAATTCGTATTTATCATAAAATAGTTCCTAATTCCTATTAAAGAACCGATATTAATCTAATTGAAACGTAAATTGGAACATAGAAAGATATGGTCGAATTCGTACTTACTATGTTGAAGTGTAAGAAGTCGATCCTCAATTGGCTGACCTGCCTATCGATCTTCTGGACGACTACCGAGCAGTTCATGGGTCGGTCGATGAGGTTCGGAAAACCAGGACTGGTCACGTAGGTCAAATTATTCTGCACCTCTTGATCACAACTTGCCGTAACTTGTAATGGGAACAAATTAATGAATAATAATGACCAAAATATTCCCATCATCGTACAAATGATTATATATTTTATATCAAATATATTTATCATCGTTTTTATTTTCACGTGAAAATAGAAAAAAAAAAAAAGAAATTTGTCAATTTTTATTTAATACGATTTGTATTACTCGAATATATTAAGACCGGTCAATTACGTTTATTTTGTTCCTTTTTTTTTTTAATCCTAAATAGTCAGAGTTCTTTTCTCGAGGGTAAGGAGTCCTTAAATAATTGAACAACTTTGAAACGCAATAAACCAACGACGCGGAAAGGAATACTGTAATTAAATTATTTCTCAATGGTGGCCCACTCGACTATATTTCAGTCAACCTTTTCAAGATAAATTTAACGTAGAAATGAAATAGCCGGTAAAGGTACCGAAGTATAAAAGATCGTGTATGCTCTTATAACTCAACTGAGCAATATAAATTTCATCGTTCAATTACGACCAAACTATCTACTCGCAAATCGATTTTTATAACAACGCTTTCGGATTTCTTACAATTTTACGAGACAAAAAAAAAGTAGTAGCGATTACAAAATTTCCTTTAATACAAACAAATCATTTATAATACATGTATACATATTTTTTTTTTTTTTTATTATTAACTCGACAATTAAGCTTTACATTAACTCTTGTACGATAAGTAGTGCTCGTTTAAAGTGTATATTGTAAGACAATTATTTCGCTGATTACTTTCATACAAAAAATAAGGAACTAATTTATTCAATTAAAAAGTATCGATCCATTATTCAAATAAGACAATCTTCTTTTACTATTTTTAACCAAAATACGATATCGATAAAATATAATTTCAATCAATTCTGACAGTGATTAGATGTACTCTAAAATACTACTATAATCAAATATTACTATCTGTTATTATTGTATTAAAAAACTAAATATATATTGAATTTGGTTGTGTTCTAAAAAAAAAAAAAAAGAAAAAAAGAAATGAGAGGAAGAGAAAGAGAAACAAAAATGAGACATTCTTATGCCGCCAGCCCGACGCGGCTCAGAGTTCCGATAACGAGTTCTCATTCAGGCATTCAGTGGCCGTTTTAGAGTCTCCGGGGTTTCATTCAACGACCGTGTCTCTACCACACATTTACCATCTTGTCTGGTAGATTTAACTCCCTCCTTCGTGTATAATACGGGAAGAACATTAAAAATTTACGGGCCAACCGGTATCGGCGCTTTCCGAGAAGGAATGCTACTTTGTAAACTTTTAATCCTTTATAAAAGTAGGTGAGAAATAAACAACACTACCAACTATCAAGATACCAAATCCAATAAATCTCATTTGCAAATGAGAAAATATAAATATAAGTAAGTAGATGTATATGATATATTTTCAAATGCATCGATCCGAAGTGATGTGAAAAAAAAAAAATCATAATACAGTATTGTAATACATGAGATTGATATTTCTAATTAATTTCTATTTATTTAACATTCGCGAACGCATACGTAAACTGGGAAGATTCTGAAACGTACCCTCTCGTCGCTTAATTTCCCTCGAGAAATATCGTTCTGCATCTTGAAGATACAAATTGCTTTAATCTTTGCTAAAGTAAAATTTCTAACGATAGAATTCATAATGATGAAAGAAAGGGGGAGAATGGGTATTAAATCTTCTAAGAATATTTTCTCTCTCTCTCTCTCTCTCTTTTTTTTCTCTCTAGTAAACACAAAGGCTGATGTGAATTTTCAACGAAAGTTTAAGTCCGATATCTCGCATAATTAAATATCGAGTTAATTGTTCGGCCTCGCGTGGTGACTACTCGACAGGAATATCAAACAGGATCCAATGGGGGAACGTGACTAAAGTTAACTTTTGCTTAACTTAAAATAGTTTACTAATTATCGAATCACGATCCTATGATGTATATAATGTACGTATATAATATTATATTTTAATATTAATTAAATATATCTAATAAAGATAAGAAAAATATACGTGGGTTATTGTCGAGATTCACCGAAATTCAATGAAACTAACATAGAAGATACGAATATCCGGGTGACGAATCCCAATATCCGGATGGCAAATCCGTACGTAGATCCAACTGTCCGAGAAAGCACGAGACGTAATCGGATTACTTCGATATCCGGATACCTGACGATGCTTTTTCTTCTATCAGCTAATGAATGTGATGAAAAATAAAAAGACGTCAATAGTCAAGTGATCTTGCGCAACTATAATTGTAAGTATATATAGAAGATATATGTATGTTATATTACTAATACAAAAATCTAGTTCTAAATGTTCACTTATAATTCGAGAAATATAAAATACGATATATAGAGAAGGAAGATTGAAAGAGAGAAAAAAAAAAGAAAGAAATAAAAGCACGTAAAGCGGTTTTGTCGGACATGCAAGCCGCGCAAACAAAGTTTTATGTGGGACACGTGACCGACTCGAAAGGCAATTAGGTAACTGTATAATCCCGACCCGCTCATACATTTTTTCTCAGCACGCAAACTCCGAGATCGGAGCTCAATGTTTCCTTATTTCTTTTCTTATTTCTCTTTTCCTTCCTTCTCTCAATCTTATCTTGTATTTTTTCTCTCTTTATTTTCTTTTTTTTTTTCTTCTACTTCTTTTCTTTTATTTTGATTTACTATATATACCGACACCCTCCTACACTCCTTACGTGCAACCATTCGCCTTTAACAAATAAAATCTCTTCTTCGAAATCTCTCTGCTCTAAAGCATGCAACTATACACTTCAATACCGTTAACTAAATCATCAACCTGTTTCGATCGACCCAGTGACCATTCTCTTTCCTTCACCAAGATCTTAACGACGATTCGATCGTGTGATCATAGCGAGTGTTTTCTAGAAAATAGAAAAAATAATCTAAAATATAACTCACATATACAACAAACACCAAATCCAAGGGCACACGGTCCATATGATTTTCCATTTTGAATACGACATTGATACGTGTTCATGCATATCCCACGTCGTCGTTTATCTGAAGCTAGACACTCTTCCTCAACTGGGATAGGAAAAAAATTGAGAACTAGAACAAAACATTATTAACGTAAGTGATAAAATTCAAATTCATAGTCATACATTAATTGTTTTCAAAACAAAAATTCAAAGTAAAGAATATACAGAGACAAAACAAGGAATGTGTGTAGTACAAAATGAATAATATAAACTTTACAAAATGAAATGATTATTTATGTAACTTTTTCTTTTTATGATATATTCCTTCGTTTACCACCCCTTTACATTTGTTCATTAAAATTCGATAAATATTAAATTATAAATGAATTCAAAAATTGATTGCTAACTCACCCCTGGATTGTGTTTTTAAATTAAGAATCTCTGATTGATGTTTGGTTCTCCAATCGAATAAACCCAACGACCATCCACGAGTGTTTACTGAAAATAACAAATGAAGACCGCAAATGATCGTAAATAGTCCTCTAGACTTTCGCATTGCTCCTAATCACGATTAAAAAAATAATTATTTCGATGTTTTATTATTCTTATATTATTGATGATCGTGATACAAAAATGATTATAGATCGTTGAAAACATCGATACACAGGTAAATTTGTTTGATCATAGGAAGAAACCGAAATACCGGTTGATCAACTAACCGACTAACTCACTGACTGACTCTTGCAAGTCCCATAGGAACATCGTAATACCCCTCTACGATCATCTTCGTTGATACTGTTACAATCTTTACCCTACTATTCACATACTTCCTTATTTCTGCATATATACATATATATATATATATATATATATATATA